CATTCTGTAATCCATTATGTTATTTCTGGGATTTTTTTTTGAAGTAAAGTCCTGGGATTTTTTGTGCGAAAATAAGATTGTAATACCTTGTAGCCATTCGTATGCTGTTTTACGAATGCTGTTTTACTTGAGTTATTATTGTATGCTGTGTTATTAGGTTATTAGTCTGTATAATGCCAGGCTAGTACCATGAGCGTGCGATTTTTTTGAGTAGAACCAAACCCTTTTTCTTATCAGAACTTCATGCATGTCCCCGTGTGATTTTTGTGAGTAGAACCAAACCCTTTTTCTTATCAGAACTTCGTGCATGTCCCTGATGGCAAAAAAGCAAAGATAGCCATTATCATGTTACGAGGATGGGTCATCAAGGATTGTTGTTGTAGCGGCGTGTAAAAAGATCCAGGATATTGAAGAATTATCTTGGAACGATACAGGCGTGTAATAAGATTCAGGATATTGAAGAATTATCTTGGAACGATACATGCACGCCAACAAAAAAGATTCTAAAGACCTTAAAAGAGAACAACCTTTTCTATGTACAGAAAGTGACAATGCGAAGGGCCTCAAGGCAGTCATTTGGAACCAGATTTCCTTGTTGAAAGATCCTCGAGGAAGCGTGATCGTCTTGAGGAGGCATACGTGTTCACAAGCTGATGCATATGAAAGCATGACTCAGATGCATGTGTGAAGGCATCATGCTATTAGCTTATCAGGTCATATACAGCTCAACTTAAAAGGGGACCGTGTATGTTTTTACGCCAGCTAAAGGCCTCCGCTCGGCGGGGCATAACACTTCGTAATTTGAGGACAGTAGCTTTCATGAATACCACCATCCAAGCAGGGCGGTTCTATGCGAACGATCTTTGAAGATTTTAACTCTTACCAAAATCGCCTTCTGAGTGGGGCTCCTTTTTTCAGTCAGCCCACATTTGATCACTTTCTTTAATACTTTCACCCTTAATCCCTAGGATACATGTTAATTAAGGGCAAGATAGAAAATGTAGTTGATTAAAAGAGAAATCCCATTTCAAGGCGGATTCTGCATAAATTGAGGTGTAGGCAAAGCAGGCTGTCTCAAGCTTAAAACAACAAAATAAGTCAACCGCGTGCTCTCGAAAACCATCATTTTCGCCATCATTGAGGAGAGGATATCAGGAACCCAAACGCAAAGTAAGACAAAATTATAATCATTATAAAGGCCTTTGCTTTACTCTTCTAGGGATTGCTTTGCATTGTGGCATGCATCAAATAAGGCTACATTCGCCTTTAGGTCAACATATATAATCTAGCGAGCTACCCCAAAGTAGGGGCTTCTACATAAGTATACATTACTCTAGCTCTTGTACGACTCCTCCGCTCAACATCCGAAGTCATAGGGCACAAGTCCTTGCAGTTCCGGTCCATTGAGTCTATTGTTGTTACCATAACTGAAAACACGAAGAAAATCGGGGGATAAGTCTTCATATATCAATAAATATCTAAGAAAGCTAAGATGATTAAATCAAAATGTGGCAACTGCTTTATATGGAATGATATTACTAGCTGCATTAAGTGATGTGCTGTGATGAATTGGAATGAGAAATCCCAAAAGACTGCACAAGGATATGATTGAATTCCAGTAGTCCACCTGTACATGTAATAATCATAAGGGATTCCTTACACAGGGAGGGAGTTGGACAAGAGTTGGTAACACAGCTTTGGACACCATGGTTGCAAGTTCAAGACTGTATATTCTACTATTCTTCGAATCTGATTTCGTTGGTCCATATTTTTGTAGTCATTTTGAGCCTAAAATTTGAAGTTACCATGAAAATGTGTGGGTTCTGTAATGTGCTTGAAAATTTATATTTTCCTACGTATTGAGGCAATAGACATGCATTCAGGTGGATAATATAATTAGCTTTCTACGAGAAAATTTGACCCGTGATGCTTCGGCATTAGAAAAAAATAATGGTTTACATATCTATTTAAAAATACATAGTATACCTAACCTAACCACTTAATATATAATATATATATTATATATATATTATATATATATATATATAATATTATAAAACTCTCTCTCTCTCTCTCTCTCTCTCTCTCTCTCTCTATATATATATATATATATATAATATATATAATATATAATATATATAATATATATATATATATATAGGAGGTAGGTAGTCACATCAAAAATATATCAACTTGCACCATGTACTAAAATGTTGAAATACAAAGTGAGGTTAAAAATAAATTGGATGAAGTATTGTGGGTGTAAGAGTGTTTTTGGAAGTGAGTGGGTTTAAAAACAAAGTGCTGCTACTAGGAACAAAAAATGGTACGTGTCCATGGGACACGACACGACACGTGGCGTGTCCACGTATCATTTACAGTTAGTCATGATTAATGCCAGCTAATAACAAACTAGGGTTACTTTGTCACAAAAGTTTCCTTTTATCTATTCAGGCATAAAGGGCACCTAAATAAACCTTCTCCCCTTCTTTCACTGATCGCACCATCTTTTCTCGTCAGATTATGTTTACACTGGTGATGGCTCCTTCCATCTCCAACATAATGATTCCATTTGATTTTGTTTCACTTGACTTCTCTGATGAAATGAGAAACAATTGTCTGCTGCTCACAAGTTATTTCTTAACCTAGTTTTCAAACAATTAACAAAAACTAATAAGAATCCATAAGATTCAGATCAATCTCGTACCTCTGAAACCGAATTCTCATTTCAATCTACGAGAAAAACCATAAAAACTAATAAATAAAATCAAATTAACCTCCCAATTAAGTCATCTTCGTCCCCATAAAAATTTTAACCCATGAAACCTCAACCTAGCCCACTCTCTCTCTCCCTCCCTCCATCCCTCCCTCCGTTACATCCTTCTCTGAATCCAAAATTGTAGACATGATCGAAAGCCCAAGAAGATTCACTACTCAGAAGCTCATCCCCTTTATCCTTTAGTAAACCTCTCTCGTCTACATCCCTCATCAAACCCAAACTCGAATCTGACCTGATAAGGCGCATTCTGGATCCAAGAAAACCCAAAAATCCAGTAGCAAACTCATCCTGTCCTCTCTTCTTTAGCACAAAAATACCCTTTCTGGTCAAGTGTGCCACATCAACAGGGCCTAATTGATTCATTTGACCTTATCATCACCAATGTTGCAAATAGTGATAACGCATAGCGTAACGCTCACCTCCGGTTAACGTAAAATGCAAAGTGAGTTTAAAGTGACTTACACCACATACCAAACTAGAGAATTACAAAGTGAGTTTAAAGTTAATTTTGTTGAGTGTTTTGAGTCTTAAAGAGTGATTCCGGAGGTGGATTTAAAAATAAATGGGGGTACAACTTTGGGTTTATAGAAGAAAACGCCTTTTTAAAAGTGGGTGGCTTTAAAAATACAAGGGTAAAACTTTGGGTTTGTAGGCAAAAAAAACCTTTTCATAAGTGTGTGGCCTTAGAAATAAAATTGGGGTAAACCCTTGTGTTCCTAGAGAAATAGCACTGTAAGACATTGGAAGTCGGTAGGTTTAAAAACTTATGGAGATATAGTTTTCAGATTATAGGCAAAACATCCAACTTTAGGAGTGGGTGGATTTAAAAATAAAATGAGGGTAACTCTTTGAATTTGAAGGGAAAAAAACCCCTATATAAAATTTTTGTGTCTAATATTTATAACCATCGTAGATCGTAGATCTCCCATAAACTCTATGGAAGTGGGTCACTTTAAAAATAAATAAGGTAAAACTTTGGGTACATACACAAAATCTAACTTTGGAAGTGGGTTTAAAAATACATGCAGGTAATACTTTTGATTCACAAGGAAAACACCATATATGCTATAGTATATGGGTTTACTATTCATAAGCACTGTTCCCACTGTTGGGATATTCAAGACTATAATTTAGTTTGTGTGAAGAAAACTGCCTCACAAGGGAGCGAGAATCCAAATTCTTCTTGATTATTTTAAAGATCCTAGAATGAGGGGAAAGACGAGGTAATTTACAGGAAATAATCAATACCAGGGAGATATGATATGAGGAAATTTTCTACGGATCCCCCCTAGGATGGGTACATTTCTTCTAAATTACTTATCAGTTTGTGATGTTCAGTTGCTCTTACATATGAAGAGAATACAATTTTAAGATTTCTATACGAACTACTCAAATGATGCAACAAAACAACATTCAAACTTAATACAAAAATGAATTTGAATCTTCTCCAAGATACATATAGTTTAATTGCTATATCTAAATGCAGATAATCTAACTTGATAAACATCATCATGTTACAAACTCAAATACCATTGCAGCATAACAAACTGAAATTTACACTGCTAAAGCAATCACTATCTGAGGATCTACATTTACATTAACAGAGGAATTGTATCTACTTATGTGGCATACTAAAAGAATATCAAAAAATATTTGATCAACTGAGCTAGTTGGAAATCTAGATGCGAAAACCAAAAGATTGCTTGTCAAGTCAACTAAAACTTCATCCGTTAATAATATTTCATATTTTAACATCTCTTTCGTTGTTTACTGTTTACATCTGACTATACTTTTTCAACAGAGCACTTCTTTTAACTTGAATAAAACAGATGACAAGCTGGAATAAGCTCTCACATGGAATCCTCTTTTTTGTTGACACACAACAAAAAGCATTAGAAAACTATCACGAGTCAAAAGATCATCTAATAATCTACAAGTTATAATTCATATCATCCTTACCTTTGGAGAGGGAAATTGGAGAAAGGACCATCAATCGGAATCGTTCCACAAAGATCATTGCTTGAAACATCACTGTATCAATCAAAAAAGAACTTTCAATACAAAATCCATACCCCAACAAAACTCCAAATTAAAAGGCTAATCTTAACATAGTTCCTTACAAGACTTTAAGATTTGAGAGGGAGGCAAGCTCTCTTGGAATGGATCCTGTAAGCTTGTTGTTGTTCAGCCGCCTGATTAAATAATTTCAAGAGAAAACTGGGTTATATAGCAACAAAGGCAACCGCAATTTTTCTATACAATCTCTAAAAATTTGCGATCTTACAGGAATCTAAGTGACTTGAGCTTCGCAAAGGATTTGGGGATCTCTCCTTGAAGTTTATTCCCATATAAATCCATGCTGATGAGACTCTTCAAATTGCCTAATTCTTTAGGGATCTTTCCTTCGAAATTGTTACTATAGAGCTCTCTGCGGTTTAAATGAAGCAATACTAAGATATAAAATAAAAGCCTGATAAAAGGAAAAAGATGAAGTTAAGAAATGAAACAATTAAAGGATCAAGGATTTATTACAGATACTGGAGATGCTCAAGGTTGCCAAGCTCAGGTCCGAGCGGTCCAGAAATATTGGAGTTGCCCAAGTCCCTGAATCAAAAGCAAATCAAACAAGAGCAAAAACTATAAAACCTTTTTACCTCCCAAAAAAGAAAAGACACAAAAAATTTGATCTTTCGAAGATGAGATCCAGGACAAATAGACAAGGGAAGCATAAAGTAAATAGAAAGTTAAAATATTTTCTTTGATCAGAAACCGTTAGAAAGTGAAAAGGGGCCCAAATCCCTGCTATAGAAATTTGTCATGTAGTATAGGAAAACAACCAATCATAATTACAATTTCTAAAAAGTGATTTGAGCCCAAATAATAATTTTAGGAGAAAAAGAAGAAGCAACATATTCAATCTTCAAGTGCAAAATTAGCAAAAATTGGTCTTTTAACCCCTGAAACCTCTGCCGAAAATTCAGAAGGGAAGTCAGCGACAAACCAAAAATCAAAATCCAATCTTTTCAGCAAACTGGCAATCAAAATACAATGTTTTACTAAAGAAAAGAATGATCAGAGAGAGATGGTGTCAAGAAGACAAACAGGCGGATGACGTGGTTCTTGTCGTCGCAGGTGACGTGGAACCAGGTGCAGGGGTTGACCAGCGTTGGGTCCCAGCTCTGCAACACGTTTGTGGGATCATGGAGCCTTGTTCTCAGAGCATGAAGCGCTTCGCCTGTGATCAATAATAATCAACCAATAAATTTGGAAAAAACAAAAAAGGAAAAGACAATTATGAGAGAGAAAGAGAGAGCTGCAACCTTCTGTGTTGGTGGAGATCGATGGAGATGCAAGAGAGAGAAAGAGAAGGAAGGAGAAGAGAGAAAGAGGAGAAGAAGAAGAAGAAGCCATGAGAGAGAGAGAGAGAGAGAGATTAGGGCTGAAAACTTTTTGTAATAAAAATTTGAGAGGAGTAAAGAGAACTTGTTCTGATTCTGGTCAGCTTTCAAAGTTAGTATTTTTCTCTTCAGTGGAAGGGTCAGCGGTCAAAAGTTCGACGGAGAAAAGAGAGAGAAAGAGAGAGAGAGTTTTCGCGTGTGGCGTGGGTTTGGGTCTTAGTGGGTGGGGCCCAATCTGCATTATTTACAGTGTGAAGAGAGTTGTTGGGGGTTGGAATTTTTTTTTTAAATCAAAAGACTTCAACGAAAGGTATCACTTACGGCCAGTTTGGATGGGGTATTTTGCACCAAACATCGGGAGAAAAGCTATCAAAATGACAGTTTTTTGGCAGCTTTCCTCCCAATTTTCGGGGTAAAATATCTCATCCAAACGAGCCCTTATTCTTTCTTTCTTCATCTGCTACTAATTTTCAAACAGCGTAGTAAACGCAACACCCATTCATCACTCTTCTGTTGTTATTATGAAGACCGAACAGCTTTCTTTGTGTGTTTCGAGAGTGGAGAGCCAAACTTGGAATTGAAAAACATAAACAGCACAAAAATCTGCTTATCAGTCGACCGACACTAGCTCATCGGTCGATCAATGTGAAGCCAAGAAAAATTAGAGGAGTTTTGGGACGGTCGACCGACGGGCTTGTCCCGGTGGACCGAAAGCGTGCACGAAAACCCTATAGAAAACATGGTTCTGGCCGGTCAACCGAAGCAAGATAATTCGGGTTGGATTCTGTTTTTGGGGTCTGACAGATGGTGATCGACCGGTCGACAGATGGTGATCGACCGGTCGACAGATGCAATGCTATCGGTCGACCGAAGTGGGGTCTGACAGTTTCCTAATTCGGGTTGGATTCTGTTTTTGGGTTGAGTATATATATGTTTCCTAAAACGTTTTTAGGGTTATGTGAGATTCGGGTTGGATTCTGTTTTTGGGTTGAGTATATATATGTTTCCTAAAACGTTTTTAGGGTTATGTGAGGACGTCTTTGAGAGGGTTTTGACGGCAGAGTATATATATGTTTCCTAAAACGTTTTTAGGGTTATGTGAGGACGTCTTTGAGAGGGTTTTGACGGCATTTTGAGATCAGAGATCTTAGAGAGAGAGTGGTCTATTAAGAACATTGTAATCTTCTTTAATTAATCAAAACTTTTTGGTGTGGTTCCCGAGGACGTAGGCACGTTTGCCGAACCTCGTTAAATCTGATGTTTTCTTCTTTTGTTCGTTCTTTCCTGGAAGTTTTCTTTTATTTGTTGTGATTTCGTACTTACCTACTCTTGACACAAGATCCGGAAGGGCAATGGTTGTCGTTTGTGTGTTCAACCCTAACAACTGGTATCAGAGCTTCGTTCGGTAAAGTTTGTGTGTGAAAGAGATGGCAAAAGAAAGCAAATCGAAAATCGAGAAGTTTGACGGATCAGACTTTACCTACTGGAAGTCGCAGATGGAGGACTAGCTATACCAGAAGGATCTTTACCGTTCATTGGTGGGAAAAGCTAAAGGAAAGAAGAAAAAGGAATCGGACGAGGACTAGGAAATGCTAGATCAGAAGGTGTTGGTAGAAAATTTGGAGTAAAAGAAATGAAAGAAAAAATTTGATTTAAATTCTCTCGATCTCAATTACAATTGGATTTCGATTACAAAAGAGAGGAGAATAATTTGGATTCTCCCCTTTGTTTAAAACTGGGTTCTTCTCGGTAGCAATGGAGTACCTCCTTCGAATGCTCGCGTCGAGTTTGCTCTTCGTTGACGATCCGAACGTCTTGATTCACTGGAATGATATCTTCTCCTCACGGTTTGACGCTGTGGAGAACTTGCTTGGCAAGTTTGAAACTCTTGATGAGTTGATAACTCTGAACGAGTTTGAAACTCTATGAAAGAGTTTATTTGAACCGAAAGTACGGTTAATAAGCTAATGATGAAAACTTCTTGATCTCAGTTGCTGAAGAATGCTTAAAGATCGGATGATTGAAGAAGCTATTGCCAATCTCTAGATCCAAGAATGCTCCAAAGATCACCTCTTTGCTACCAAGCTCCAGGGTCAATCCGAGCAAAGAAGTTCCAACCCTTAACTCGGTTGAGTTTCTTCTTATTTATAGAGGATTAAGGGGGTGTAACCACGCCTTAAATCACTCCTAAGTGGGGTGTAACCGCCCCCAAATCGTGGAAAATGGTTTTGGAACCGTTCAAGGGTTTAAGGGGTGTAATCCTCCCTAAAATCTCTCCATAATAGGGTGTAACTGGCCCTATTAAATGGAGATACGGTTTGAAGACCGTTCAGGTTCTGTTTGAACCAGTCGAACGCAAAAACACGGGTCTGACCCCCGTGGGTCTGACCCTCGCGTTTTGATGTTGCAACGCGGGTTCGACCCCTGTGTTTCGATGTTGCAACGCGGGTTCGACCCCTGTGTTTTGATGCTGACACACGGGGAGGACCTCCGCGTTTTGGTGTGGCAACGCAGGGAGGACCTATGTGTTTCGTTCTGAGAACACAACCACGAGCTATGCACTTTGAATCTGGGACGCATAGGTAAGCTCTGCGCCTGAATATGAAGAGACCATCAATTTGTAGTCTCTTTTGCTAGAGTGCTGCAAAGACCGTCATCTTATAATCTGTTAGACCCTAGAGGGGGGGTGATTAGGGTCTTATGCTAATCTAATCCGATTAAATGCCAATTAAAATTAATTAATACGTTATCCTAGCAAGTATGAAATACAACAAGATATGTAAGCTAGGATAAGCAATATGAACAAACGAATATATCCTTTCAATGAGATATTACAAGTATATGAGCAAGGATATATAAACTCACACAAGGGGTAAACAATTTAACTACAAATGTGATAGGGTAAAATGATCAACAAGCAATACACAATGGCGATGTAAGATATGAACATGAAAACAAGTGCGCCAATGCAAACACAAACAAAGGATATGTTTACGAGGTTCGGTCCCCACGACCTACGTCCCCGCTCCTCACCTCGAGGAGATCTCCACTATCACAACCGGGTTTTCTACGTTCACCCGAATAACGTTTACACCTCACACTCGGTTTTCTAGCTAATCGAAAACTTTACAATCAACACTCTTGCAATCACACTCTACACCCACTAAGTGTTGGAACTAGACGTGTCTCCCTCAAGTGTTAGGAATTACAACCTCTCGTCACCTACCCCACTCCTCTTGGGACGATCCCCGACTCTCGCCACACACTTCTCTCTTGGTGTACAAGTGTATTACAAAGTGTATCCTCACAATTAAGGCTCAATAAAAAGTGTTTGTTCTCTACAATGGATGAGAACGAATTGTAAGCTCACTCTCTAAGATACACAATCTCACAACCCAATTATACTATGAATGTAAATACAATAAGCTCAAAAGGTTGTGTGTGAACAAAGAGATATAAATCAAAACTAAACTCAATGTAGTTCTAGCTTAATAACAATGATAATCAAATATATAAAAAAGCTAGAAATAGAGTTTAGAAAACTTCTCAATATATCAAGAGTTGGAGGGAGAATAGTTGAATGCCCAAACACCAATAGATGATCTCCTCAAGCTCTTGTAGAATTGAATCACAAAAACAAACTCTCAATTTGCTTAAAAGCTTTTTAAACACACTTAAACCAAACTAAAACCCTTGTTAAAAACTTTATTAAACTTGATTAAAAAACTCTCTTAACTACTTTGAAAAGACATCAGCAATGGGGTATATATACCCACTCAAAGCTCAGCCAAAAACCCCAAAACGAAATGACCAAAAACCCCAGCAAACAGCTCAGAGAAAGAGCCGTTAAAAAGCAACGGCTATATTGTCGGTCGACCGAAAATCCCGTCGGTCGACCGATGAGAGCAAAACCACGAAGAAAACTTTCTGGATCATCGTCGGTCGACCGGTGTGGTCGACCGATGGAGTTTTTCGGTCGACCGGACCGGTCGACCGACAGACTCTCTGTCGCCCAGTGAGCACGAGAACTCAGGTTCGGTCGACCGGTTCGGTCGACCGAAAACTAACATATATAAAAAACTGATTTGCTGATTTTAAAACACTGTTTAAAAATATCAAATAAATTCAGAAAAATGTAAAACTTTGGGGAATGATTGTAGACATGATAATAAACATGCTACAACGACTGGTTTCGAAAAAGGACTTCCCAAATGAAAAATATCATCATTTTGCAAGATAGTCCAAAACACGAAAATGTAAACATATGAATCTTGACATTTTAGCTTAACCATGTTTTGAAACATTACAAAATGATTTTGTAGACTTAATAAAAGATGTATATGATTATTGTTAAGTCTATAAACCAAGAAAACAATATTTTCACAAATACAATAGAAAGTAAAACGTATGAGTATGTATATGAAAATATATTTGTTTCATATCTATGAAATTAAACCAAAACAACTTATCCACATAGAAAACAAGCATGTATACACATTTTTTGGAATTTATTTGTAAAAACTTTGTTTGTGGATAAAACTAAAAACCAAGATGTATATGTATATAACTATATATATATATATATACTAAGAAACTAATAAATGTGTGTGTGAATATAATATTGAGCTTAGAGTATATAACACACATAATATAAACCTATACTAAATATACCCAAGCTTGATCTTGATCTTCATTGAAGCTCAACTTGGTACACATGCGGATGAAGCTTGAACTTGATCTTTAACTTTGAATTTGCAAGGCTTCACCGACATTCCGCCAACCTCCTTTGGATATGATCGTTGAAGCTCTATTCCATCCATCCTCCAACAACGTTGTTTGTCTACAAAACATAGGAATGCACAAACACTAGACAAACAACATTAGTAATAAATTGTTTGTTAAACATCATCAAAACAAGAAGGCCAACAATCTCCCCCTTTTTGATGATGACAAACAATTTACAAAAAGGAATATATGCATGAAGGAAATGAACATATACAAGATAATAACTCACATGCATATAAACAAACAAGATAGATATACTCACAATATTTCTCCCCCTTTGACAACATCAAAAAGGGGACAAAAAGAATAAGAGAGCGAAAGCTCCCCCTATCAATAAGCATAGGTGAGTATAAAAACAAACATAGAA